AAAAAAAAAAAAAAAGAAAAGAAAAAAGAAAAAATCTGAAGAGTTGGGCTCCAGTCTCAACTGTACTATTTTCTAGCTGATATTTTTTTTACAAGAAAAATCAGAGTTAAAATCAGTTACTCTTTCTAGACATTAATTACCACATTTTCGTAAAGACTCTAAACAGTATAAAATTGTAAATTGCTGCTACCCTACCAAGTTACTGTCAGTAAATACTGTGTCCAGTAAATGTTGAGTATGGATTAATTGAAGGGTACCACTAGACTTATTTCCTTTAGCCAAGGTTGTAGCTAAGAATTGGGCTTCTGACATATATTCTTTAAAATTTTTTTTGTGTTGGGTTTTATAGCTCTAAACCTAATTTCTAACATATTTATGTACCTAAAAATCTACATTCTAATATAAAGTTCTTTTTTATAACTTAAAAATTTTAGGCCATCAGCAAGCAGTTTATTGTCCCATGTTTTCTTCAAACAGGTGAGCTGATCTATCATCTGTTGTCTTGATGTTTTTAATTACTATTAAAAAGTCACCTTATTTTGCTGGCTTGATGAGATATTTTGGTTACCAACGTTCTGACTAATAACTTTGTTACAAAATAAAGTTAAAAACTGGAAAACTTTTGGTAATTCAATTATACTTTCTAAAATACTTTCATTCTACAAAACAAAATGGACTATCATCACATGTTACTGATGCTTAGTATATATTTTGATTGATTTAGAGACATTTTCTATTGGCTAGAAATGATGAAAGGGCAAAGTAATTCTGATAAGAAATCAGTTTATTTGGCTCTTCTTCCTGTTTTCAGATGACCAGAATCAAAGGGAGTTTTAGGGAAAATACCTGAAAACAATTTTAAACACATTTAAGATGAATTCTTTAAAAGTTATTTATTGCTAACAAAATTGATGTATTGAATTTATATATCAACAGCCTTATTTTGAGTTTCTTTAACAGATGAAAGAAGAAAGCCAGGATTCAATACTTTCACTGTTGCCTCCTGCTTATAACAAGCCATCAATATCATTGCCTCCAGTGTTACCCTGGACTGAGCCAGAATGTGATTTTCCTGATGAAAAAGACTCATACTGGGAATTCTAGGGCTGCCAGATCCTTTTATGTCCTATAGACTTGACATTTTCTCCTTGCTGCTTTTTCTTCTGTATTGCTAGGTACAAATACCAGAATTATACTTGAAAATACAGTTGGTGCACTGGAGAATCCATTATTTAAAACCACTCTGTTCAAAGGGGCATCAGTTTGTAGTCCCTCTGGTTTGCACAGAGTGCTATGACAACTCTAAGGAAACATCAGAATTACTAATCTATCTAGTATCATTTATTCTGGAATTTTTTTCTAAGCTGTGACTAACTCTCTTGATCTCTCAATATAATTTTTGAGCCAGTTAATTTTTTCACTATGTTGCTGTCATCTTGGGAATGGACCCTGAGAGGATAGTGCTTCCAAGTACATCTTCTCCCAGATTCTCTGGCCTTTTTAATGAGCTATTGTTAAACCAACAGGCTAGTTTATCTTGCATCAGACCCTTTTAAGGTAGAGGGAAAATGTTTTTACTTTCCCTTTTTCTTCTGTTAGTAACGGTAACATCTTACTGAGCCTCACTTACATTAAATGATTCACTTGAAATATATATAGAAGTTGTAATTTGCTTTTCTTTT